AGCTTTAGCAAAATGCATTAATCTCTCAAATTTGGCACTTAACCTTGGGTAAAAACAGTTTATTTGTTTTGGATTGTGATATTTTTAATTATAAAAACTAATTAAAAACAATAAAGCTCTTTTTTCTTTTTCTTTTTATCGTGCTTGCTGTTTTGTTTTTTCTTTGTTAATTAAGCTCATCATTTATTTTATTCATTTGCTTTTATTATTAATTAATTTTATTATTTCATATTTTTTCTTCATTTTTTCCTTCTAATTAACTATTTAATGATATATTTTTTCTTCAATATTTAAAAAGGTCTAATTAAATTGGTGATGAAGGTGCATCAGGCTTAGGTTCAGCTTTAGCAAAATGCATTAATCTCTCAAATTTGACACTTTACCTTCTGTAAAAACAGTTTATTTGTTTTGGATTGTGATATTTTTAATTATAAAAACTAATTAAAAACAATAAAGCTCTTTTTTCTTTTTCTTTTTATCGTGCTTGCTGTTTTGTTTTTTCTTTGTTAATTAAGCTCATCATTTATTTTATTCATTTGCTTTTATTATTAATTAATTTTATTATTTCATATTTTTTCTTCATTTTTTCCTTCTAATTAACTATTTAATGATATATTTTTTCTTCAATATTTAAAAAGTCGAAATTAAATTGGTGATGAAGGTGCATCAGGCTTAGGTTCAGCTTTAGCAAAATGCATTAATCTCTCAAATTTGACACTTAACCTTTGGTAAAAACAGTTTATTTGTTTTGGATTGTGATATTTTTAATTATAAAAACTAATTAAAAACAATAAAGCTCTTTTTTCTTTTTCTTTTTATCGTGCTTGCTGTTTTGTTTTTTCTTTGTTAATTAAGCTCATCATTTATTTTATTCATTTGCTTTTATTATTAATTAATTTTATTATTTCATATTTTTTCTTCATTTTTTCCTTCTAATTAACTATTTAATGATATATTTTTTCTTCAATATTTAAAAAGGTCTAATTAAATTGGTGATGAAGGTGCATCAGGCTTAGGTTCAGCTTTAGCAAAATGCATTAATCTCTCAAATTTGACACTTGACCTTTAGTAAAAACAGTTTATTTGTTTTGAATTGTGATATTTTAAACTATAAAAATGAATATAAAAAAAATTTCTTTGAATTTATTTGATTTATTTTTTTATCTTTTTTATTGCACTAATATTATTTTATTTATGAATTTAAAGAATAATTTAATTTAAAAGTTTATTCTATTTTTATATTTATTTAAAATTTACACAGATTTATTTTAAAATTTTTAGCTCAATGAAAATTTCATAAAAATTCAAAGTAAAAGGCAAGTGTCTTAAATCATAAAGATTAGTTGTCTTTAATTTAAATTTCTTATGATAAACAGCTGGTGAAAAAAGGATGAATCAATATAAAATGTTTGAATAATATTATATATTTTATTATTTAATATTTTTAAAAAGTGTTTTTAACCTAAAATATAAATAGATTTATAGTTGTTATTATTGATTTTAAATTTATAAATATCATTCATATTTTTGTAAGTAAATAAATTATTTATTAAAAATAAAAAAAATTAAAAATTAAATTTACTTAAATAAATTAAATTCTCTTAAGCAAACCCTCCGAATTCTCCAAAAACGATAAAATAATTTGGAACTTTTAGTTTAATATATCTTATTAAATTAAAAAAATACCAAGCTTTTATATGCCAGTTATATTATTATCTTAAATATTATCCATGAATCATATTTCTATCCTTTTTTTATTAATCATAATTAATTAGATACCATGATTTAAATAAAACCTTAGGGAGAAATCAAATTTTACTTTTTATTTTAATTTTTGTGATAAAAATACAGATAAATATGTCAAAAATTAATTTTATTTTAGTTAGTTTGCATTATAATTATCACTTATATCCAATCTCTAGTTCTATTATATTTTTAAGTTAAATAGAAATATTAAGATTTAATAACAAATTTTACACTTATTCTTTTGTGACTTCTCTTACTTACTTACTATAATTTCATACAATAATTAAATTAAATTTCCATAAATTTCTATAAAATATTTATAAAAAAAATAAATGATATAATAGATAAAAGAATACTACAAATTAGAAGAAGTAATTATTTATTTTTTTATCAAAATAATTTAAATTTATATTTACTTATTTAAAAAGTTTATAAACTCTTCACTTTAATCTCATTAGATTCTCCATATTAATATCAGGTATATTTAATTTATAAATATTATTATTCTTATTAATACTTTTAAAATATTTAACTTTCAATTTTTTTAAAATAATATTTTTCTAATAGAAATTATCACCTAAATTCATTGATACATTTTAATTTCAAATATTTTTTTAGCTATTTTAACTTAATTTTATTATCATCTTTTATCATTTTATATTTTTTATTTATTTCTTCCTTCTAATATACAAATCATAACATAATAACTCTTTTATTTATTTTCAACCAACAATTTCTTTTATTAATTTATTTCTTAATATTTTTATATTTTTCTTCATTTTTTCCTTCTAAATAAAGAATTAATTATATATTTTTTCTTCAATATTTAAAAAGTAACAATTAAATTGATGACTAAGGTGTATCAGTCTTACGTTCTGCTCTAGCAAATTGCACTAATCTCTCAAATTTGATTCTTGATCTTAAGTAAAAACAGTTTTTTTGTTTTGGATTGAGATATTTTTATTTATAAAACGTAATTCTAAACTCTTTTAATTTTTTTATTAGCTATTTATTGGATTTATTTTAATTTTTTATTGTATTTGTGTTTATTTTCCTTCTATCTTTCTTAATTTAGCTCATTTTTTAATTTCAGCATTTGCTTCTATTATTAATAAATTATTTTCATTTTATTATATATTTTTTCTTCATTTTTTCCTTCTAAATAACAAAGAAATAATATATTTTTTCTTCAATATTTAAAAAGTAAGAATTAAATTAATTCAGCAGATGCATCAGGCTTAGGTTCTGCTTTAACATATTGCACTAATCTCTCAAATTTAACACTTGATCTTTAGTAAAAATAATTTACTATATTTTTATTTATAAAGCAATAAAACTCTTTGAATTTGTTTATTAGATTTTTATTTGATTTATTTTGATTGGACTTTTATTTATTTTCTTCTATTTTTCTTAATTAACTCAATTTTTTATTTTCAAAATTTGCTATCAATATTTATTAATTCATTTCTTATTATTTTTTGTGTTTTCTTCATTTTTTCTTTCTAAAAAACGAATTAGTTATTCATTTTTTCTTCATTATTAAAAAGTTACAATTAAATTGGTGATGAAGGTGCATTAGGATTAGGTACTGCTTTAGCAAATTGCGCGAATCTCTCAAACTTGGCACTTAATCTTACGTAAAAACCATTTATTTGTCTTGGATTGTGATATTTTTATCATAAAATTGAATTCTAAAACTAAAAATTCTTTTAATTTGTTTATTAGGTTTTATTTGATTTATTATTTTTTTTACTTTTTTATAGCACTTGTGTTTATTCTCATTCTATCTTTCTTTTACTCATTTTTTTATTTTCAAAATTTGCTTTTTTTATTTATTAATTCATAATTAAATTGTATTATTTTTTTCCTTCTTACTAATTAATGATATATTTTTTCATCAATATTTAAAAAGAGAGAATTCAATTGGCGATTAAGGTGTATCAGGCTTAGGTTCTGCTTTAGCAAATTGCTCTAATCTCTCAAATTTGACACTTGAGCTTAGGTAATTTAATTTTCTTTTTCGTTTTTATTGTACTAAGTGTTTTTTCTTATTTATCTTTCTTAATTTAACTCATTTGTTTATTTTGAACATTTGTTTAATTATTTACTAATTCATTTCTTATTACTTAATATTATTTCTTCATTTTTTCCTACTGAATAATTAATTTAATATATATTTTTTCTTCAATATTTAAACAGATTTAATTCCATTGGTGATGAAGGAGCATCACGCTTAGGTTTTGCATTAGCAAAGTGCACTAGTCTCTCAAATTTGACACTTTATCTTTAGTAAAAACAGTTTATTTGCTTTGGATTGTGATAATTTTCCTTATTAAAATGAATTTAAAACAAAACACTGTAAGTCCTCATAAATTAAGGTCAAAAGAAAATCACATTTTTAATTAAAATTTTGGCCAAATTTTAGCCTAATTAAAAATTAAAAAAGAATTTCTTTGGCCTTAATATATGAGGACTTATATTAACTCTTATAATTTATTTTTTAGCTTTTTATTTTATTTACTATTGTTTATATTTTTTATTGTACATGTGTTTTTCTTTCGTTTATTTTTCTTAATTTAACTATTTTGTTTTTTTCAACATTTATTTTTATTATTTATTAATTTATTTGTTATTATTTCATATTTTTTCTTCATTTTTTCCTTCTAAATAGTAATTAATTTAATAATTATTTTTATATTTAAAAAGGTTCAATTAAATTGGTGATTAAGGTGCATCAAAATTAGGTTCTGCTTTAGCAAACTGCACGAATCTCTTAAATTTTAGACTTGATCTTTAGTAAAAACAGTTTATTGGTTTTGGATTGTGATAGTTTTAGTTATAAAAATGAATTTAAAACAATTAACTAACTCTTTTAATTTGTTAATTTGCTTTTTATTTGACATATTTTACCTTTTCTTTTTTACTCTGCTTATGTTTTTTCTATATTTTAATTTTTAATAAATAATGTTATTCTATTTAATTTGTTTTAGCATTTTAATTTAATTGAAAATAATATAAAAGCAAAAACTATATCGAAGAGTCACAATAATTGGCAGTAAAAAGCAAGTTTCTTAAATCAAAAAGATTAGTTGTCTTTGAAATATATTTCGATTGATGATAGAAATGTGGTGAAAAAGAATGGATAAATATAAAATCTTTGAATAATAGAAAATAATATGTTTTATTATATATTTTTTGTAATAAAATAATGTACCCTAAAATATACATTTATATTTATGAATATCATATTTATTTTGATAAGTTAATAAATAGTTTATTAAATTAATGAAAATTTACAAATAATACTTAATTAAACAACTGAATTTCTCTAAAACAAACCCTCAGTTTTAAATAAAAATAATTAAAGATATTAATTTTTAAAAAATTTTCAAAATATGGGTGTTAATATGTATTTATAGATGCTAATATCGGAGAATCTACAGTATATTTTTTTAGAATGGTACAAATTAAATAAGAATATTTAAAAAAGGAAATCAATAATTTTTTTTAATTAATCAAAATTATTAATTTCTGATCATAATTAATTAATAAATAAATAAATAATCAAAGAAATATAAATGGGAAATCAATAAAAAAAAAGGAAGTAATAGAATAACTCTATAAGTATTCTATAAGATGTAACCATCATTATTATTCATTTTATTTATTATTATAAAATCATTTTTTTAAACAAATAGTTAGTGAAATCTGACTTGAAAGCTCTAACTCATATTGACTTACAATTAAAGTAAGATATATATATATATATTTATTCATTCATATTTAATGATGAATTTATCAAAATAAGCAATATTTTTTCAAATAAAAATAAATATTTTTAAATTTTTTATGTTTCTATTACAAAATTAAGAATAAATAAAATTTAATTCATTAATTTTTTCATAAATTAAATTATTTTATTATTATTTATAAAATAAATAGAAATTGCACTCTTAGTAACTAATAAGTTGCTTAACTTAACAATAGTTTAGTATAATGCTAAAAATTAGAATCTTTAGTACTAAATCTTAAGTAATAATTTAACTTTATTATCTTAAATTACATAATTACTTTTTACTATTAATCTAATATTTAGTAAGGAAAATATTTCAGAGGATCAGATAAATTAATTATTTGCTAAATATCCCTACATAAAGAATTTTGTTGAAACTGGTAATAATGTGAGGTAAATAAATATATTTTTATTTTAATAAATCTTAATATATTCAACAAATTGTTTAATAAATTACAACATTATCTTCTTACCCTAGTTATTTCTACCATTTATAAAAATTTATTTTAAAGTTTTTGTCTTAAAATATGTTAAATAAAATATTAATTTATATGTTAATTAAAATAGTTATAATTTTATTTTATTTAAATAGCAATGACTAAATATACACCCAAATTTTGTTTTTCCTAAATCATTTTAATGCTATTCATGATTGTCAAGAACTTAGGTAAAATATAACCAACTATTGGTATTTAATTGATTTGTTTTTAATTTAAAAGATTAAATGATATTGAAGCTTAAGGAGATATTCTATTAAAAGAAACTATGAGTAATCTAATTAATCTCAACAGTTTATAGCTAAATTTAGAGTATACTTTTTTTAATTAATTTATTTATTTTTTTTAAAAAATTATATTCATCTTTCAAAACTCATTAAAAATTTTCAATATCTAAACTAAATTATTTTCAATAATAAATAAAAGAGGAAATTAATTAGGAGATTAAGGTTCAGTTTGGATTTGTAAATTATTACGTAAATGCAAAACACTTAATAACTTAAATCTGCAGCTTTGGTAATCTTATTTCAATTATATTTAGCATATTCAGTTATATTTATTGAATTATTTAAGAAGCATATAAATTATTTATTAAAAATCTTTTTTTGCAAAGGAAAAATAAAATAGGTGATAGAGGGATATCGAGTATTGCAGAGGGTATTTGTAGTTGTTCTAAACTAACGACTTTAACTTTAAATGCAGTGTAAATTTTGTTGATTATTGTTTATATATTAAAAAATTATTTTTCAATATAATTTAACACTTAATTGTTAATAAAAACTAAAAAAGTGAAAATTTATTTGGAAAAGAAGGTGCATTTTCTATAAGTATGACGTTAAGTAGTTGTAAAATGCTGATTAATCTAGATATTAACCTCTCGTAATTAGTTTTAGTTTTTTTTAGGGGAAATTTAAATTAATTGTATGTAGTTTAATAAGTTTTTAATCAATTTATCCTTAAATATTTGTTAAGTTGTCAATTATTTTTATTTATATATCACTTTATGTTTTATTAGTAACAATTTAATTGGAGAAGAAGGAGCATCAGTTATTTGTATATATTTAGGCACCTGTTAATTACTTGAGAATTTAAAATTAATACTATGGTAATTTTTATTTTTCATTTTTTCAAAATTAAAAAAAATATTAGTATTTTTATTTTTAAATAATTTTAAAATGTTTTTAATTAGTCTATTAAAAAATGATAAATTTATTTATTAGCATATTAATTTTTATTATAAAAGTAATAATTAAATTGGGGATGGAGGAGCATATAACTTAGGAATAGCAATAAGTAACTTAAAGTTACTTATTAATTTAAAATTTTGTCTTAGGTAATTTTTATTTTACAATTAATTTTGATGATCTAATAAAACTATATGAAATTTTTATATTTGAGATTAGCTTAAAATAATTAATTTGTTAATAATTTTATTTATTTTATTTGAAAAGCGAAAATAAATTATCTGATAAAGGAGCAATATAAGTTGGATTAGGTTTAAGTAAGTGCAATCTACTTAAGAATTTAGATATTGGATTATAGTAAATAATCTTTTTTTATTATTTAAAAAAAATGATATTATATATATTAAGTTTTCATAAAATCTCTTAAATTTTAATTAAACATGATTTGCATTTATTAAAGCAAAAATTAAATCGGGGATGATGGAGCTTCTACTATTGGTAAAGCACTTGGTAACTACAAGTTCCTAACTAATCTCAAATTTTCCATTTGGTAAAATTTTATTTTATTTATTTATTGATAACTAAAAAAAGTTTGAATTATTTTTTATATTTTGATTTAAATTTCAAAACAAATTTAAATAGTTAATAAATTTATTTATTTTATTTGAAAAGGGACAATCTAATAGGTGATAAAGGAGCATAAAATATTGGATTAGGTTTGAGTAACTGCACTCAACTTACAAATTTAGAATTCTACATAAGGTAAATTTATTTCGTTTACAACTTAAAAAAAAAAAATTATGACAAACCATTTTATTCAAACTAAATTAAAAAATAATTTGAATTTATAAAATATCTTAAATTTTAATTAAACTTGATTTTCATTTAAAAAAGCAAAAATTAAATTGGCGATGATGGAGCTTCTAGTATTGGTAAAGCGCTTGATAACTGCAAGTTCCTAACTAATCTCAAATTTTACATTGAGTAAAATTATATTTTATTTATTTATTTATAACTAAAAAAAGTTTGAATTATTTTATATATTTTGATTTAAATTTCAAAGCAAATTTAAATAGTTAATAAATTGCTTTATTTAATTTGAAAAGGTTCAATAAAATCGGTGATAAAGGAGCTTAAAATATTGGATTAGGTTTGAGTTACTGCACTCAACTTACAAATTTAGAATTTGCCCTAAGGTAAATTTATTTTATTTATAACTTTTAAAAATTATTTCTAACCATTTTATTAAAACTAAATTAAAAAAAACTTTGAATTTATAAAATGTCTTAAATTTTAATTAAACATGATTTGCATTTATAAAAGCGTAAATTAAATTGGCGATGATGGAGCTTCTTCTATTGGTAAAGCACTTGGTAACTGCAAGTTCCTAACTAATCTCAAATTTAACATTGAGTAAAATTATTTTATTTATTTATTTATAACTAAAAAAAGTTTGAATTATTTTATATATTTTGATTTAAATTTCAAAGCAAATTTAAATAGTTAATAAATTGCTTTATTTAATTTGAAAAGGTTCAATAAAATCGGTGATAAAGGAGCTTAAAATATTGGATTAGGTTTGAGTTACTGCACTCAACTTACAAATTTAGAATTTTTCATAAGGTAAATTTATTTCATTTATAACTTTTAAAAAATTATTTCTAACCATTTTATTCAAACTAAATTAAAAAAAACTTTGAATTTATAAAATGTCTTAAATTTTAATTAAACATGATTTGCATTTATAAAAGCGTAAATTAAATTGGCTATGATGGAGCTTCTTCTATTGGTAAAGCACTTGGTAACTGCAAGTTTCTAACTAATCTCAAATTTTACATCTCGTAAAATTATATTTTATTTATTTATTGATTACTAAAAAAAGTTTGAATTATTTTATATATTTTGAGTTAAATTTCGAAACAAATTTAAACAGTAAATAAATTGATTTATTTTATTTGAAAAGGGACAATCTAATAGGTGATAAAGGAGCATAAAATATTGGATTAGGTTTGAGTAACTGCACTCAACTTACAAATTTAGAATTTGTCCTAAGGTAAATTTATTTCATTTATAAATTTTAAAAAATTATTTCAAACCATTTTATTAAACTAAATTAAAAAAAACTTTGAATTTATAAAATGTCTTAAATTTTAATTAAACTTGATTTGCATTTATAAAAGGTATAATTAAATTGGCGATGATGGAGCTTCTAATATTGGTGCAGCACTTGGTAACTGCAAGTTCCTAACTAATCTCAAATTTTACATCTCGTAAAATTATATTTTATTTATTTATTGATTACTAAAAAAAGTTTGAATTATTTTATATATTTTGATTTAAATTTCAAAACAAATTTAAATAGTTAATAAATTGATTTATTTTATTAAAAAAGCAGCAATCTAATCGGTGATAAAGGAGCTTAAAATATTGGATTAGGTTTGAGTTACTGCACTCAACTTACAAATTTAGAATTTTACATAAGGTAAATTTATTTCATTTATAACTTTTAAATAATTATATCTTACAATTTTATTAAAACTAAATTTAAAAAAATTTGAATTTATAAAATGTCATAAATTTTAATTAAACTTGATTTGCATTTATAAAAGTAAAAATTAAATTGGCGATGATGGAGCTTCTACTATTGGTAAAGCACTTGGTAACTGCAAGTTCCTAAATAATCTCAAATTTAACATTGAGTAAAATTATATTTTATTTATTTATTTATTTATTGATAACAAAAATAAGTTTGAATTATTTTTATATATTTTAATTTAAATTTCAAAGCAAATTTAAATAGTTAATAAATTGCTTTATTTAATTTGAAAAGGTTCAATAAAATCGGTGATAAAGGAGCATAAAATATTGGATTAGGTTTGAGTAACTGCACTCAACTTACAAATTTAAAATTTGTCCTAACGTAAATTTATTTCATTTATAACTTTTAAATAATTATTTCTATCCATTTTATTAAAACTAAATTAAAAAAAACTTTAAATTAATTTATAAAATGTCTTAAATTTTAATTAAGCGTAATTTGCATTTATAAAAGCTTTAATTAAATTGGCGATGATGGAGCTTCTACTATTGGTAAAGCACTTGGTAACTGCAAGTTCCTAACTAATCTCAAATTTAACATTGAGTAAAATTATATTTTATTTATTTATTTATAACAAAAATAAGTTTGTATTATTTTATATATTTTGATTTAAATTTTAAAACAAATTTAAATAGTTAATAAATTGCTTTATTTAATTTGAAAAGCGGCAATAAAATCGGTGATAAAGGAGCTTAAAATATTGGATTAGGTTTGAGTAGTTGCACTCAACTTACAAATTTAGAATTTGTCCTAAGGTAAATTTATTTCATTTATAACTTTTAAATAATTATATCTTACCATTTTATTAAAACTAAATTTAAAAAAATTTGAATTTATAAAATGTCTTAAATTTTAATTAAACTTGATTTGCATTTATAAAAGGTATAATTAAATTGGCGATGATGGAGCTTCTTCTATTGGTAAAGCACTTGGTAACTGCAAGTTCCTAACTAATCTCAAATTTAACATTGAGTAAAATTATATTTTATTTATTTATTTATAACAAAAAAAATAAGTTTGTATTATTTAATATATTTTGATTTAAATTTCAAAGCAAATTTAAATAGTTAATAAATTTATTTATTTTATTTGAAAAGGGACAAAAAAATAGGTGATAAAGGAGCATAAAATATTGGATTAGGTTTGAGTAACTGCACTCAACTTACAAATTTAGAATTTGTCCTAAGGTAAATTTATTTCATTTATAACTTTTAAATAATTATATCTTACCATTTTATTAAAACTAAATTTAAAAAAATTTGAATTTATAAAATGTCTTAAATTTTAATTAAACTTGATTTGCATTTATAAAAGGTATAATTAAATTGGCGATGATGGAGCTTCTTCTATTGGTAAAGCACTTGGTAACTGCAAGTTCCTAACTAATCTCAAATTTAACATTGAGTAAAATTATATTTTATTTATTTATTTATAACAAAAAAAATAAGTTTGTATTATTTAATATATTTTGATTTAAATTTCAAAGCAAATTTAAATAGTTAATAAATTTATTTATTTTATTTGAAAAGGGACAATCTAATAGGTGATAAAGGAGCATAAAATATTGGATTAGGTTTGAGTAACTGCACTCAACTTACAAATTTAGAATTTGTCCTAAGGTAAATTTATTTCATTTATAACTTTTAAAAAATTATTTCTAACCATTTTATTAAACTAAATTAAAAAAAACTTTGAATTTATAAAATGTCTTAAATTTTAATTAAACTTGATTTGCATTTATAAAAGGTGTAATTAAATTGGCGATGATGGAGCTTCTAATATTGGTAAAGCACTTGGTAACTGCAAGTTTCTAACTAATCTCAAATTTTACATCTCGTAAAATTATATTTTATTTATTTATTTATTGATAACTAAAATAAGATTGAATTATTTTATATATTTTGAGTTAAATTTCGAAACAAATTTAAATAGTTAATAAATTGCTTTATTTAATTTGAAAAGGTTCAATAAAATCGATGATAAAGGAGCATAAAATATTGGATTAGGTTTGAGTAACTGCACTCAACTTACAAATTTAGAATTTTACATAAGGTAAATTTATTTCATTTATAACATTTAAAAAATTATGTCAAACCATTTTATTAAAACTAAATTAAACGTGTAAAAATGGAAAATTGTTTGATTATAAAAATAAATGGGTTCGTGTCCTCAATATCCATTATATCAGGAACGGCTATAATAAATATCAAAATCAGATTTTTTAATAAATAAATAAAAAATCTATTTCATAATAAGTAGCATGCAAACCACTAAATTTTTGATTAAAATTTTATTAGATTTGAATGAAATTTTATTTAAATTACTTTAGAGTGATGTATTTAGTCTAGGAATATCTTTATCTTTGTTAGATAACTTTTAAAAATTATAACCTTTATATCATTTTGAAAGTTTAAAAATTGGAAAATATTTTGTGGAAGCTTTTGAACCTTATAAGGGCTAATTAGATTTAATTAATAGAAAAACTAAAATTTATTAGAAAGCAATTATGTACTCATTAGTTTATGATAAATACAAAAGAAAACATTTATCATAAATTTTAGATGATTTCAAATAAAATTATTTTTCTAAAGAGATAAAATAAGTAAAATAATAATCATTTTATGTTTTCCTAATTATTTTAGAATTTTAATTTTTCAATACTTCTAATTTACTGCTATTATTTAACAAAAAATAGGTTTATTTATTTTTATTA